ACAACAAGACTTCAATATTCGACAGATAAATATATAGTGAAATATATTGATGGATAGAGATATTATAAGGTAAAAAAACAGATAGGTATGTAGATAGATATATTACATAGAGAGAGAGAGTATAAGATACATAGAGAGAGACTAATCGAAATGTCATGAAATTTTACACATAGTCTCTTGAAGATTGGTACTTATAAACTTCATATGGATTTGACAATGGCAGCGCCATCTGTGTGTCAGTCGTACGACTTATTGACTGATGTATTACATAGAGAAAGTATAAGATGAAAAGGAAGACAGGTATGAAGAGAAATAGAAAAGTAATAAATTATAAAAATAAATGGATATGCAGATAAAGAAATTGCAAGATAAAAAGATAGATAGATGAGCAGAGAGATAGATAGAGGCCGTACAAGTTAAATGTCATATAGATATGTATAGATATACAGAGAAATTATAAGGTTAATAGTTATATAGGTATGTAGAGAGATGATAGATAGATTATAAGTTAAAAAGATAGATTGATGTGCAGAAAGATAGATGGAGGCGTTATAAGACAACTGATCGATAGATAAGTATATGTATAGATACATAGAGTAACAGTAAGGTGAAAAGATAGATAGGCATGTAGAGAGATAGCTAGAAAGATTATAAGTTAAAAAGATAGATAGATATGAAGATAAAGAGATTGTAATATAAAAAGATATATAGATGTTTAAAGAAATAGATATAAGGCAACTGATCGATAGATAAGTATATGTATAGATACATAGAGTAACAGTAAGGTGAAAAGATAGATAGGCATGTAGAGAGATAGCTAGAAAGATTATAAGTTAAAAAGATAGATAGATATGAAGATAAAAAGATTGTAATATAAAAAGATATATAGATGTTTAAAGAAATAGATAGAGGTTTTACAAGGTAATTGATTGATAGATATGTATAGATACATAGAGAGATTGTGACATAAAAAGATATGTACATATTTAGATAGATAAATAGATATGTTTCATTTTCTGGATAGAGGTTAGAATATTCCCGAGGTAAGACATATTTGACGTAAAAGGCGACTAAATTTCCTCAGATATTAGAGTTTGTGAATTGATAGCTCGCAATGACTCTGTGAAGCCAGTGTACCAGTCAAGTGGATGTCATCTTTCACTAAACGTTTTCTTTCACTCCAGGGTGGTATTGTGGGATTTGATTGTGTACAGCGATCATATTTTTATTAGTTGCAGTTGATTTATCACCGTGGGAGATGAAAGTGTGCAGCATCGGTTCCGTTTTAATAAGTTTAACTGAACCATCACCGTTGGAAAGATCAAATACATGTTATGTTCAATTGACCATGTGTGTCGAATTTTTGTGGATGAGAGGTGAAGACTACATTTAATAGCTTGTTTGTCTAGGATGATTCTGGACGAACCAGCTGGACAACCGCGAAATTGCAGTGATATCTGGAAATCTCATCTTTTTTCAGACAGAAACAATATTCTGTCACATCAAACCGTCCTAACTTGTTAGGTTGGTAGTAGATGTTGAGGTCTTTCGGCCGATGATTCAGTATCTACATCAGATTTTTTTGAAGAAAATCAATTATATACCAAAAATAAAAAGAAACTAAGTCCATTGTCTGTCGGTTACTTAAGATGACGTGCCAGTAGTGACTTTATTCTATTGTTATGTGAGTGTCAATCTAAGTAATAATAAGACTTTGGTCCGCAGAAGTGTACAACTTAAATGATTAAATCCTACTATTTTACCATATTGTGTTACAGACTGAAATATGTCTTCTATTTATAAATAATTTACTTTGGGCATTTAGACTGGTGACTTTCTGCTTCAGTTGCCTGAATAGTTTGGCAATATGAAATAGTTCAATACAAACATATTTGTATACTGAAAGCATGCACTACTATGTAGTCATATATTTTACATATGCCTTCAAATGAAGTTTTGAAGTCTTATTTGTATCTCCTTACAAATTAAAATGATTGCCTAAAAGAAACATAAACCCAATATTGGCAAGCTTCTAGGCGCCATTGCGTTTTGCTAACTAAATTTACAAGGATAAGTGTAAATTTTCATTTTCAAGCACATTTTAAGGATGGCTATTTTTTGTTCTTAAGTATTTTTCTATTTTTTTCATTCGCATTTATTTATGTTTTTGGCAAACGCATATTAACACAAGATAATAAAAATCTACTTTAATTTTAAAATTTTTTCCAAATGTTTCTGTTTCGTTTCCTTAATAAAAATTTAGATTGCATGTGCCGTGCATTTCTACATTTCTGCACTTCCAACTGCAGATTGCCTGCTGATATCGCTTTCCATGCTCGCTCGACTGTTCTTGGATCTGTTGATAGTTAAAACTTTGGCTGCCATTATGGTAGCATTTATATTGCCATTGTTGTGCATTTGCTTTATTGAAATTTTTTTTATTCACTTATCCTGTTTTCCTCTATTTTTCTGGGCCCTTAGAACGCGTATTCGTACCGAACGCCTCAGTAGTGTGCACTGAGGTTTTGTTTTCTTTATCCTTGGATTGTAGGTTTGTTGGGTTGTTGGCAACCACAGTGTGCACTGAGCGCTGACACTACGGTGTGAAGTTTTGGTTTTGCGGTCGGTTCGTTTGGCGATTTTTGCATTAGTTCGGTGTACTTTGGGTTTAGTGTTTGCCAACATTTATTCATTTCCTATTTTATTTCACTACGTTTTAATGTTGTTTTTTTCTTTTTTTTTTGTTTATATTTTAATGTGCTCATGTTTATTGTAATGTTCGGGTTAGTCTTGTGCCATTAAATAGAAATTACGATGTAAAGAATTTTTATTGACCCATTATTCATGATAACTTTCTTTAAACCGAAACAATTTTTCTTATCTGTTATATGGTCAAAATCCTTTTCGCCGATAATTTAGTCAGGAATATCAATTTTTCTTCATTCGATGATATAAAGTAATTTACAATCCCCAAAGAGTTACTTAAAAATTTATTGATATACGTTGCCATAAATTAATGAATAGCCTAGTTTCAAATAAAATAGTTGAATATACAATAACATTAATTTAAATGAAATAAAAGTTTGAAGTTATTTTTATATATTATATATTATAATGATATACTATATCAGTATATAGTAATATCTATGGGATTTTTGATTATCAGTGTATATATGTATTATATACATATGTATATATAAGTCTAATGTATAAATTGATAATGTGAAGTACTTTCAATTTACTTTATGCACTCTATTAAATAATGCTTAGATGGGTTTTAGAGGTTTTTCGAATATTAGTGTACTACAACAACAAAAATTCATTATTATATTATTCTAATTAATTGAATTTTTGGCTGACCATACAGCTGTTTCGAGTATTGCTAAATACCCATCATCAGTGGTCTTGGAAATAATTCTTGTATTTAATTATTCGTTAATAATTAAAGTACCAGGAATCGAACTCGGGTTCTACCTAATGTGAAGCACCTGATTCTGATTATTTTTCTGGAGTTTTGTTACTTTTGCTGTGAAAGTTTTTATTAACAATTTTACTTGCTGTGCTTATATTAGAACGAAATCATAAACCAGCTGTAGAATAATTGAATTAATTAATTATATTTATATTTTTAATTGCTAAATTTCAATACTATTCTGTTTGTAGAGGTCTTGGTTAATTTCAAGTGTGAACGTCTACAAACTTTTTTCTTAGTGCAGTTTTTTCAGTTTCAGAATATCTTAGATTTCCTTATAACAATATGTAATGTAAGCGAACTTTTTATCCTTGAGACTTTTCTTGAGACTTTTCTTGAGGTTTAGTAGCAAAAAATACTAATTAAGATTTAGTCTGGAAAATAAGGTGTATTGGATATCAGCTTGCCGTCTAATTATTAAAAGTTTGACTTAAAAACCAACTTGATAAGTGTATCTATGAACGATGCCTTGATTAAAGAATGTATTTATATTAACTGGAATGGTTTTGTTTCATCTTTATTTATTTTTTTGGATCATTTCAATTGTCTTTAAAATGATCCAAAAGTAAGTAATCTTTACAGTAGATTGATTTTCTTCTTTAATGATATTCAAAGAAATTTATGATATATGTATTATATGAAACAAACATCATGACTTTTTTAGTTAAAAAAATAAACCGTAGGTCCCTCGTGATCAATTTGCTAATTCTTTTGTACAGATGTTCTTACATTTTTTTGACCTTCTTTCAGATTAAAACGCGTTATGAAATTGGAGAAAGAGAGCGATCGATATTTGATTTTTCATAGGTTTTTTGTCATTTCTTGAAGCACGAAATAATTACATTATGGAATATTTACCTTTTATATTAGAAACAAGTAAACACAAGTATATATAAAATATCTTTATAAAATTGGATTTAAAATGATTAATCTAATTTCATTGTTGATATTAATTTTGATGCTTGCTACACTTGATGAATTCTGCGGATTGAAAGATCTTATACATAAATCGTATACATATGGATTTCTTGCTTTTGGTATTCACTGTTCCGTTCTTGGCATTAAGAATAATATGCCTATATATAGATAAAATATCAATAAATGACAGAAGAAAAATATTGTGCACGTATTGGTTTCATCACCTTTTAGACAGCATTAAGGCATGAGTAAAATTTCACTCCACTTAGTGACCGAAACTGTGCGAAAATTGTTATAAAAACTAATTTTAATTCTCAATTTTACTCAAGTGAATTAACTTATGATTACAGTTTGATATTTGAAAAAACTGACTATGTTCACGTAGTTATGTTTATTGAAGTAAGAGTTATGTGTATACAATTCAATTGAATTTATGTAATAAGTTTTAAGTAAAATTAATTTATAATATACATTAATAATAACTATTAAATATTTTAGTATAATTTCAGTACAAATATAATTTATTTTATTCATAATATATAACTTGATTTATATTAACCTCAGTTGTGACATTATTTAAGTAACATAAATTTCTACTTGCTTATTGCAGATACTTTTCGTACTTAATTTTCTTTATAAGTGGCCAAAGCAAAAACGAATAACGAGTAACGAGTAACCAACGAATTGAGCTAAGACGCGGTATAATTGAAAAAAGCAATTAAATAAACTATTTAATAAATAACATTAAAGATGCACCAATGCATCGCAGAAGTGCGATAATTGGGTACATTACCCTTGCTCGTATACGTGGTGGGGGCTCCCGTTTGGGGGCACCTAATAAGGTCTACGCAAATGCAGTATTTAGCAGCCGAAACGTGCTATAGATACGCTGTGTCACCACGCCACCACTACCACTAAATGCAGTGGAAGAAGAAATTTACTCGATTGAAAGCAGCTACAGGAAATTCGCGTGCGCGAAGAATGCTTTGTTGTGGACGAAGAAAGGTGAGTGGAGAGCATAAATAAGTTCATTCTATTTCTTGAATATTTTATTTTGCTAAATGGTTATAAAATAAAAGGTCTTAAGTATAAAAATATTTGTGTTCATGTGGCCATACATATAAAGAGCTTTTGTCTGGAAATAATGTACTTCCTTGAGAGAGATATGTACTCGCATATAAGATTTCATGAAAGAGATGTGTATCCGTATATAAGATTTCATCAAGTTCAATTCGAAAATTTCTAATTAGTAATTTAGGAATCCTTAGAAATATAAATAAATATAAATTTATAAATAAATAAGGCAAATGGTGAGTTCATTAATATTATTATTTCAGTTCGGATCAGTTGGTTAAGGTGGGCTGACTTTGAGATTTAATCTTGGAAGGACACTAGTTAGTTCTATTCCTGGTACTTACAGTCTCAAATAAGTTATTTAAGATTAAATAAATACAAGAATAATTTCCAAGACCACTGATGATGAGTGTTTAGCAATACTCGAAATAGCTGTATAGTCATCCAAAAATTCAATTAATTAAAATAATATAAAATGAATTTTTGTTGTTGTAGTTTACTGCCGTTCGAAAAAATCTCTTTATAATCTAAAGTTTTTTAAAGTAATAAAGATTAATAATCATTGCCTGGTTTTTTTTTTTTGGAGATAGTTTTCTTTGTAATCCTGTATATCTGTAAGTATCGAATAAGTGGGTTTCTGCCTATACTATTTCTGTCGTTTTTTGGATCAATATATCTCCAACTGAATTTAAAGCATTTCTATACCAAACACACTGCATATACCAGTGTACAGTATCCGTAATTGTAGATAAATAATAAATTAATATTATTAATTAATTTTATCGTTAATGATATTATTCTATGAATGCAATATTTTAGATGTAATTTTAAGTAATTCTCAAATTAAAACTAATCTTATTAAAAAGAAAATTACAAGTGAATACTGCAGGACTAGTATTCAGTGCAACAAATTTGCTTTATTATGGCATTTACATGGTCTTTTAATACGAACAAATTTATGCATAAGAGCATGTAAGTAGTCCTGTTTATGATTGTTTATGTGTGCGTGTACGTGTGCGTAGTAAACAAGCCTAATCCACAAATACACAAGGAAATTACGTCTAACGCACACACTGAAAGCGATTACAAACTTGAAAGCATTTGGTAACCTATAATGCCATAAACAAACAATGCTATTTGTACGAGCAATTGTATTTGACCAGCCAAAAGCTGCTGGCTCAAAAGGAATCTGGACCAGGCAACGGCACAAAATGCCATTCGTAGGAGATTTTCACCGTGCAACGGAAGCGGATGCGATTTCAAAATGGCACAGATTTATGCAGTACACTTGAACGCACTTTTAATATGTGTGCTGTTCGTTGGTTCGTTGGCAAATGCACAAACACAAATACACAAAACATTTCACTCGTTCCTTCTCTCTGTGTGTGTGTATAGCGATTTTTCTTCGGTTCTAGTTGCAACAACTTGAAACAAAATGTTGTATGTGCGGCAATTATAAGAGCAAATATTACTAGTAATTTCATGCCCCAAAATTGTAAAGCAGTGCAATATTTCATGCTTAAGTTGTTGTGGCTATGTTGAAACACCAAAATGTGCATATTATGTCAAAGCTACTAACAGAGAACTACACAAACGTAACTAGTTCCCTGCAGAAAAGTAGCGAGTTTATATAAAATATTTAGTTCGTTTTTGAGTAAAAGAATTTAGTAGTAGGAAGAAAATGTTAATTTTATAGCAATATTTTTTTGATAAACAACAAAAAAAGTACATAAAAATAAAAGTTATGTGAATTTGTATCACTATTTATGTTAATAACTTCGAAAGTAAGTAAATAAATAAAGTTTTCAAGAAAACACTAGTCATTTCATATTATTTCGTAGTACTATGCTGTAGTATATTTTATTTTAAATGCTAATATTATATTCAGACAGCCAAATTTCTTTGGTTTCGTAAAAATGAAATGAAATTAATTTCGAAAGTGTGAGTTTCTGGGCAGTATGAACTGCCCATTTAAGGCCATATTTCTTAATTTCGTTACAATTTTAAAACCGCATTTTGTATGGAAAAACAACTTTATTTCGCTAAAACGAAGATGAAATTAAAATTTTTGCGCATTTAATGTGTGTCTGAACATAGAATAATCATTCAGTTTTATGCTAAGTATTAGCATGACCTAATAAATTTCATTTTAAACAAGTCTATAACACAAGTAATATATTCAAAAATTTTACTGCAGGGTTATTTATTTCAGTTTATACTAGTCTATAATAATAGTTAAATATTCTGAAATTGAGTAAAATTCATTTTAAACAAGTCCATAATACTAGTAATGTATTCTAAAACTTTACTGCAGGGTTATTTAATTCAGTTTATGCTAGTCTATAATACTAGTTAAATATTCTAAAATTTTACTGCAGGGTTATTTAGGCTTGAAGCCATGAAATACCGATATTAGCAACAACAATCACAATACAATAAGTGCTTGAGTTTGCTTTCATATGCGGGCATATGCAGCAATAATTCCATTTTAAGCCTCCAGATTTAATGTGCATATTCCTGAGCGTATTTTTCATTATTTTCCGGAATGAAAGTAACCAGAAGTGCATTGTTAAATGGACGCATACACTTGCAATTAATACGCATTATTAACGCAGAAGCACCACTCAGCACATGTACGTCGCATGCGAATAACAACGTTGCTACATAGCTACGTAGCTATGTATGTAGGTACGCACAGCGAAGCGTAGTGGCCGTAAGCGTATATGTGATTTCTGCTGATTGTTGTTGTTGTTTTCCATGTGTTTTCGCACAATTTAGCGGTAATAAATTTAATTTTTCGGTTTGCATTTAAATGCAGTTTAATTGCAAAATTTGATTTATTTTCATTTTGCGTAAAAACGGCTTATAAGCTTTTTATTTAACCAATGTCCGATTCTGATGCTGGCAATTCAGCGAGCAAGGAAAGTAAAGAATCACATCGAAAGTTAATTATGTTTGTTCATTTCGAAATTTCATTTAAAATTTTTTAACATTAATGAAGCAATTCTTATTTGCAAAGAATTGAAATTTTTACAAAAAAAAAATTATTTCAGTTTTGATGTTCAATTCTTGTTTTAAAACACGTATTTTTTCATATTAAGTAAATAATATCCAATAATAATAAATCATAAATGATGATTTTTCTTGAGCTTATCAAGTCTTAAACGATTTTTTCTATACTTAGTTTAATATGATATTTTCGTATACGTATTTTTTTCACAGTAACTAGTTTCTTTCTTATAATAATAATATTAATATGATGATGATATCTCTTCAAGTTATGAAGTTTCAATGAAGAACTTACTCAGTTGAACATGATATCCTATAAGAATAAAAACTTTAAAGGAGGATGTTTCGAAAAAACGATTCCATATGAAGAAGTCAAAAGTCTACTTTCACTAGGACAACGCATCGTGTCAGAAGTCGTGGGCTATTATGACCAAATTTTCAGATTACTGCCTGTACACAAACCCCAAAAAGATATTTCGGGAAAACGGATTGGGTTGCGTTGAAAAATCATCGTTAAAATTGAGTTAATATTACAAATTTTTTTAATTTTGTTAAAAACAGTTCGTTGAGGTACGCTGACTCTGAGCGTACCTTCAAATTTAGCAGGACACGAGTTCGATTGCGCTGACTCTGAGCTTCAAATTTAGCAGGACACGAGTTCGATTGCTGGTACTAGCAGTTTAAAAAAAAATTAATTACGAATAATTACATACAAGAATTATTTCCAACACCATTAATAATGGGTATTTGGAAATACTTGAAACAACTGTATAGTCAGCCAAAAATATTTTTTGTTGTTGTAGTCCAGTACTTTTCAAAAAACCTCTTTATGTTAATAGGTTGTAATATAAGCAGATGAAACTGTCTTTTCAGATTGGTTTGGGATACTCGATTTATTTACCAGCACATTAGTTTTTAAATTAATCTCTTTTTATTGTAAAATGACAGGAAAAAATTAGTTATTTTTTCCTGTCATTTTACAATTCAAATGCATTCCGAAATACTTTGAGATACTTTAAGGAATTGATGAATCATTGATTGAAACCTCAGGAAGTGTCTACTCGTTACTGGAAAAGTTAAACTCATGTATGTGTATTCATTCTATATTCTAAACGTGAAATCAGGTTTCAAATAATTTAAGCTTAGACTGTAGATATTTTGTTATTGCCACGCTTGACATATATATAAATATAGCATTGCTTAAAACTATTATCCTTTCACTAGTTTCTCATTATTTAATTGTTCAATTTAATTTCAATTAAAGTGAAAATATAAATATATAATTAAAGTGAATAAAATATCCGAAATTAACTATGGAGAAAACTTTTGCAAAGCATGATGTACTAAAAACTATTTAAGAGAGTGTAAATAATTCTATTATTTACAATAAAACAAAATAAGTAACTAAAATAACATGCTTATTTTGTAACCGCATCAACATTCGCGTAAACATCCTGGCAAAAGGATGTTGCAAAGTATATTTTAATTGTGGTTTGTGTGGGTTTAAATAACACAAAATTAATTCCACTGACATGTCAAAGCCATTGAACTCAACTTTGTAAAATAAACAAATTGAACATTTAACATTTCCGAGTAAATCTGTTCAAAACTTTTTACATCACCACACTCTTCTCCCTGCAGTTCTATACTACAACTAATGGTAGTAGTAGTAGTCGAGTTTTATGAAAAATAAAAAAATATAAAAAAATTTTTATAAATAAAAAAATCCTTTTTACAAATATTTTTGCATAATTTCAACTTAACTTTTTGCTGAAGTTTGCAATCAGTTGCGTTGACTCTTAATGGAAGCTCCTTGTTGGAGGATTGGAATGTTTAAATGGTGCTTCATACTCCGGCACAGTTTGCAAATAAATATTTGCGTTACTTTCCAAAGTAGGCATTGATCATAATTACGCGACTAC